ATATGTTAAATTTTTAAGCAAAATATGAGCAGGATGTGTGATTTTAAGATTATCCAATCCAGATCAATCCATCCACAAAGATCCTTCGCATCCGTTTAAAGTTTTCTGAAACCATTCGAAGGGTCTAAATGGGATATTTTAGCTTGGATTGTATGGTTAGCTTGGGGAATCGTAGAGTCAAGCGGAAGCTATTGGGTATGAGTGGACAATAAGATAGAAAATTAGCTAGCTATATAAATAGCTCCGGAGAATATGGCAGCAACAGTGAAATTGTTGTTGAAACATCCAGAAAGGTGTGCATTATGATGGGTCGCTTTATGTTTCTAGCAAATTAGGGGTCTACAATTTTAACTATAAATTTACGCAATTCAAATTACATAGAACGAATTTATGAAGAAGGAAATTCAAGAAGGTTACGAGCTTTATTTGGTTTGACCGAGCTTAAAGTTTTGAATAAACAAATGTAAAGGGTGTCCACGATGAAATTGCCACAAACAAAATTGATTCGCAAAATTCGAGTTTTCATCCGATTGCCATCAAATTTTCAGGGATTGAGAAATAACTATTAAACTTCATTTTACCATTTTACTCGTATTTTATTTACAGTCCATACGCAAATGCCCGCACCTTGGCCTTAACCCCGGCCATAAGATTCTGCACAAACTGTGAATCAACCGTTTTTTGCATGTAAACCCATACTTTCTTCAGTTCCTCGACTGTCTTCACTACCTTAGGTCGTTTAAGAAGGTGCTGCTTCATAATCGCCCAGTACTTCTCGATGGGGCGGAGCTCCGGAGTGTTGGGAGGGTTGAACATTTTCGGCACGAAATTGACCTTATTGTCCGCATACCACTTCAGCACGTCCTTGGAGTAGTGGCATGAGGCCAAATCCGGCCAGAAGATTGTTGGGACGTTGTGGGCCTTCAGGAGAGGAAGCAGCCGCTTCTGGAGGCACTCTTTTATGTACACCTGTCCGTTCATCGTGTCCTGGGTCACGAAAGGTGCACTCCGCTTCCCGCACGTGCAGATGGCTTGCCAAACCAGGAATTTCTTCGCAAATTTGGACATCTTCTGAGTGCGGACATGCTCCGGAACGCTGAACTTATCCTTGGCCGTGAAAAACAGGTTGCCGGGGATCTGTTTGAAGTCGGCCTTCACATATGTTTCGTCGTCCATGATGCAGCATTCAACTTTCGTCAGCATGTTGAGGTACAACTTCCTGGCACGGGTTTTGGCGGACTTGTTCTGCTTCTTGTCGCGATTAGGGGCCTTTTGTACCTTGAACGTTCGAAGCCTAGCCTTAGTTTTGGCCTTCTGGACAAAACTTCGGCTTAGGTGCAGCTTCTTAGCCACATCCCTAACGGAGGCGTTCGGATTTCGGTTGAAGGCCCCAACTACGCGGTTGTGATTTTTGGTGTTGTACGGAATACTTTTTCCTTCACTTCTGGGCTTCCGATCGGTGGTCAACCGTTCCTCGAACCGCTTAATCACTCGCGACACCGTGGAATTCGCGATTCCCAACGTTTTAGCGATGGAACGATGCGAGAGATCCTTGTTTTCGTGATGAATGCGCAAGATTTTATCACGCACGAGCTGTTCTTTCGACTCCATTTACGCGAGTTTTGATCACAGGAATTTAAAACTTGCAGGATGTAAATAATGCACTATGAACTAAATCCACCCAAATTTTCATTAAATTCTACCCAACGGTTAAAAAGTTAGAGCAATTTCATACTGTGGCAATTTCATCGTGGACACCCTTTAACTAGACGATGAAAAGTTTATTTTTTATCGATTCCATGACTATTTACTATAAAATGGAATTTATTTTAATACATATTCTAAAAAACCATGTGAATCAGTATTCATTTTGGTATTTTCTTAGTACCACTAAGCTTAAGTAGTGATGATGCCACTTGATGTTATACTAGAGAAGTAACGCGTTGCCTACCAACATTTTCCATCGATTTCCAGCTAAACCTATGTACAAATGTGAGCTTTACCTAGAATAAAACAAAGGTAATTTGATATTACTCTTTTAAATATGCTATGAAAAATGAATTGACGCTAAAACACCTGGATTTTTACGAATGCAATCATTTCCATGTTGATGGTCAACATTGAATGTTGAATGTCTGCATTCAATTCAGGTGAAATTTGTTTCGTAAGGTTAGCAGAAAAGGTACGAAGATTATGGGATTTGAAGATAGTGATACAGTATTATCCGTCGATGGATGATGGAACTTTAATATTACTCATGATTAAAAGCTGACTTGCCCCTAGGACATAATAGTATTTGATTGTCATATATGCAACAGTTGGGATTGATATGTATTGTTTAAATTAACGAAAAAAGCAAAACTTCTCATCAAGTGTTGAAATATTCAACTACTCCTCTTCACGAAAATGCAAATGGGACGAGCCTGCTATGAGCGGTAGAGTTGGTTTAAGGAATTTCCAGAAAAAAATATTTACAATGGCAGCTAAAAACAGGCTCTGTCTGTGCCGAAGCCTTTGTTTACCTTACGTAGGTATCAAAAATAAAACAACCAAGAGGGGCTTGTGTTTTTTCACTATTCACCAAGAGGGTTGTGTTTTCTCACTATTTAAAAAAAGAATTACTGTTTCCGCCCGGGATCGAACCGGGGGCCTTCCGCGTGTTAGGCGGATGTGATAACCACTACACCACGGAAACTGTTGGTAAGGGAGGAGAGAAACGGCATACAAAAATCGCTGCGGTGAACACGTGCTTCCAGTATTAATGTTCCTTTTCCGTCCCTGACTTGGCGAGAGAGAATAAAGAGAGTCAAAAACTAAAAATAGCTTCGCAGGGGGAAAAAACGAGAGTCATACGGAGAAGCCACGTGCAACAGAATAGCTTTTAGGCGAAAAGCTCAATCGAACGCCATTCTCTCGCTCTGGGATCGGTCTTTGTGCTTTTTGTTTTGTCGTTCACCGCACGAACACTCTCTGTACGGTGCACGTGTTTCGATTGCGTTCAGTGACGCGGGAGAGGATTTTAGATGTTGAAAAAGGTCGCCTAATTAATGTTACACGTAGTATGCATAGCATAGCTATGTTATTTAGTGCTTTTCATCCCAAAAACTGCTGTTTTGCTTGAGGGAAAAATTCTGTTGTATTAATTAATCATCCAATTCTATCAAAGTTTCATAAGAATCTCAAACAAAAACTCCATAATTAAACCTTTTACGGAACTATAGATATATATTACATATCTTACACATACATACTTCAAAATTGTGAAAATTGATTTTTGGTCGTCTGATTTAATAAATAAGCAAGTTACCCTAATAAAAAATAACCATAAACGAACGATAACCCAAATCATTGAACTATTCCACAAATGGTTTGGATGATACCCAGAACACGTCGTTAAGCAAATTAACCATACAATTTTTATTAGGGTAAGTATGCACAAAATTCTTGCAATGTTTAAAAATCATAATTAACGAATTTACGTGCCACTATTAAACCGATTATTAGCAACTCTAGGTTCTTACATATTTTGATCATCCCCTTTTGTGTAATTTGGGTAGCAATGAGAATAAATTTACACCAAAAAAAAGTAAAAATATAGATGCATCGGCCGGGAATCGAACCCGGGCCGCCCGCGTGGCAGGCGAGCATTCTACCACTGAACCACCGATGCTTGCGTCAAAAGTGGTACTGATTTCCCATTACTAGGTATTCGAAGGCCGTACATGATTCCAAAACGATAATCAAACTTCACAACAAACATAATGCTTGCAATCGAACGATGCGCGCAGCCGTTTCTCCTCTCACCGTGCTTCCAATTAATTATGACGACGTCATCACTCACATTGGATCGCGCGCACGGAACAGCTGATGCGAACGAATTAATTAAAAGCGAAAATGATTAAATTTGCGGCTTTTCAGCCGTCCTACCGTTCACGGCACGACACAGGCAGACGAAATGCAATACCTTCTTTTTTTTTCGGTGGCAACCGGCGAGCGAGCGGTTCAATTGAAACCGGAAGAAGGGTTAAATTTTGCGCCCGTCTGTTGCCATTCGCCGGGCGTCGTACGGGTGGATTTGATGACGGAGCAGGCGATATCAAATATCGACTGCTGACGACGTCGTGTGCCGCCCGTCGACGGCGGCTTCGTCTTACTTATACGGGAGGAAGAGGTTAATGAATTAATTTTCATGGTTGCAGATTTTTGCACGGCTGCTTCGAGGGTGGAAACAGGCAGCAGGAATTGTACCGGAAAATGAGTTATTTAACATATAAATCGTGTAATTTGAGCAACCTTGAAGAAGGAAATTGGATTTTGGATTGTTGTTTGGAAGAATTTAAAGAAGTAAACTTTGTACAACTTTCTTATATTCCAGTTCTGGAAAATAGAGGTAATGGAGGTCCAGTAAAAATAAGTTCCATGCAACATCACTTGGGAGGTTGGACAACTTTGAATTGAGTTTAAGTTTCAATACTAGGCAATCGATTAAGTGCATCACGTTCTAAAGAGGGAAGGGAGTTAACATCAACAAATGTTCAACAAAATAAAACTCTACACTATGAGTTCGCCCCAAAATGAGCTCAAATTTTAAGAAAATTGTCAGGCCCTCGTTTGAAATCGATTGAGCTTAGTGGATAATCTTGAGTAGTTTTCCAAGTTGGTTTTCTTGTAATTAGGATCATTTATTTTTTTCATGACATCAGATCTTGACGTATTTTTTTAATACATAGAATGATGAGATGGAAATGCTTCAAAGTTCAAGAAAGATCGGACCGAGATCTGATAAAATTCCAAAAGTCCCAGAGTGTTGAAGATTGTTTCAACACCGTTTCATAGTTCACCTCACTAGCTCATTTAAGGGAAGAATGACCACCTGGTTAAAGCCTCTCACAAGAACAAAAACAAAAACATCTAGCTCACCATCGGAAGTAGGATCCTTTCAGTTTCGTAGAGCAACCAGGCTACCAAATACTGACAACTCCACTTCCCCTTTCTTGCAGACATGCTATCACCATCCCGCACGCTTCCACAATCCAGCTCGCAGATGCAGCAGTCCACGCAGCACCACTCGCAGTCCCAGCAGCAGCAACGGCCGGCCAGCCGTCGGAGCGCCTCGTCCGGTTCGGACCTGCTGCAAACCAAACTGCGCAAGCTACTGAACACCGCCGACAGCAAAGAGACAATAATTCCCTCGGATATGATCCTCAATTCTAAATACAGCCAGCAAACACTGGAGACGACGTACATCAGCGGCGCTGGAATATCCAGTAGCGATTGCATTGGCTACATTCAGCCGCCGAAGAACTACCAGCAGCAGCTTACCGTTCATCCCGAACAGCCGAGCGACGTTTCGGTGTTCTTCCCCAGTGCGTTCCTATCACCCCAGTCTCTACCGCCACACCCGGGCGGCGACGACGATCTCTATCTGTACAGTGTCCACGATAGTCTGGTGCTGACGGATGACTACAGTACAATCAGCCCACCGGCAGAGTACGCCGAAAATAGTGCTTCGCCGGAGAAGCACAACAACAGCCACAGGTGAGTCGAACGCCCAGTTTTCTGTAGCATTTAGCTATCTAATATTAGACTGTATCCTTCTAGCCGTTACAACTACCAACGTTCATACTCGCACTCCCAGGCAGTGGCCCATCAGGACGAATCCGACTATTCGCCTACACAGTCATACAACATTAACAGTCATAAGTCGCTTCCAGATTTACACTCGCAAATCAGCCGCCATTCACCGCATTCGGAAGCTCTGAGCTGCTGTAGTCGTGGCAATCGGTCAAATCGTTCCGGTAGCTCATTCAACCGTGACTCAGGTGGTTCATCCGGGCACTACACTCACCACAGCGAACCATGTTGTAAGCAACAGCAGCAACAACAACAGCAACAACTGCAGCAAAAAGACGCTCTTATGATGGGTGGAGGTGCGGATTACCGCCGGGATAGTGGCTCATCTACGCAGCATAGTGGAAACTCCTACTACGCCTACGGTATTCCACCACTACGCTACGACTGCATCGAATGCCGTGCAAAGATCCGAGAAGAAGCCGACTGTCTATTGAATTTCACTACCCCGGAAGTTCCGGAAGCCTTCCAGGACAACTACTGCGAAAAGCCGAAGCAGAAGTACTATGACGATCCACGGGATCGTGGATCATCGTCCGCTGCTCGCAAATACTACAAAAACCCTGGACCAATGTCTCCACTGTCACCGGTGTCACCGCTGTCCCCTCAGGACCAGCAGGTCGATCTTAGTCCTCCTCTGGGAACATTCAAGCGTCAGAAATGCCTTCGATTCAAGAACCGCGGCCGTCAATCAGCGATCAGCAACCCGAACTCCCGCTGCGGCGATGGTCGGGGAAGCTCAGGCGGTGATGACGATCGTCGACCAATTTTGCGTTCCAAGAGCGATATCAGTGATCGTTACTGGAACCGGCTGTCTGAGAGAAACGATCGCGACCGGGATCGTGACAGGGAACGTGAACAGCAGAAAATGCTGGAGAAGCAGCGATCTCGCTCGGATAGCTTGACGCAGCTGGAGCACTTCTTCGATCGACTAGGACTGAACGATGAAACATACGAGAGATACATTGCTCCAATAGGTTGTCTATCTCCGAACTACAAGCCGAGTTCCGGCAGCGATATCCATCGGCTGTCACCGGAAGATACGGGAGATTCGGACGAATCGAGTGCCGTCTTCTTCTCGGATGTGAGTACTATCGATTCGACCCGACTGCCAGATAGTACGGAGACGACCAACGAGCATCCACAGAGCGCTCCCGGACAACTGACCGGAACAGGGGCACTTAATAGTCTGAACAATCCGGCTCTGTACCGACCGAGTGAACCCCCGTCGATCATCGAACGGAACGCACGAATCATCAAGTGGCTGTGCAACTGCAAAAAGATGCAACTAGCCTAAGGGTGGCTGAAAGGGGACCAGTTGCTGCTACTACCGCCAGAAGCGGTCAGCTATTCTTCAAAACCAGGACGCTTTAGAATGGTCTGAAACGAGAGACTTACCCGATACATCTGGGATGGAGCTGAAAAAGAGAAAAGGAAAAACAACTTGAATCAGATGCATATATAGAGTCTCAGCAAATCGATTTCTGTGTGTTGAGGTTATGTTTGCATAACCTCAATTTCCAGAAAATCGACCGGTAAGAGCAGTGCAGTCTCCTTGAGATGGGAATAATACAGAATAATTCGAAACTCTTGGAACCAAACATACGAAGTGAATTGACTTACTAGAAGACAGTACAGTACCACAAATGATTACTAAATAGCGTAGTGTGTTTCGTATAGACAGTAGAGTCAGCCTTCAATGTAGGAAGGCGGAAGCAAAATAGAAATATTTCAAACGAACGTTATTACTCACACAAACAGAAAACAACAAAAAACTGCATGATGGTAGCTCGTATAACCCCCCGTAGTGCGACGAAGTAGAGAACAAATGGAAAAAAATAATCAAAAACCCCGCCCCGTTTTTTCAAAGCAAATTATGTCAATCAAAGTTTAAGAAGAAAAAATGCAAATCAAACCGAAAACAACAATACAAGAGAAAACAAAAGCACAGATAGAGGAAACCAAAGAAAGAAGCTACGTCTAGTTGTTTTAACTGGGTTTAAAACAACGGAACACCCGAGATCGGATACAGGAAGCTGGCAAAATAAAACAAAAACTGTCAAAGCAAAACAATAGAGCAAAACAGCCGACTTAAATCGAATAGTTCTTAGAGGAGAATGAAAGTAGTTCATTGCGCAAGCAAATTACAATTGATTTAGGCTAAGAGGATGACAGCAAGACCGTCGATCGAAAGTCGATCAAATAGGAGAATACGAAAATCCCAATCTCGAATTTACGTGTGTTTTCTTATAGCGAAAGTTCTACACAAATAACATTGACGCATGTCGTCGCACTTGCACGGGAAGCAGTTTCTCGCTTTCCGTGGCCGTTATCTCTTGTTTTGAAATGCACTCTCAAAGTTTGCAGTTGCAAGTCGATTCCAGCCGTTTGGGCGAGCTTTGAGTGTATGTATATATACATATGTATTTGACAGACGAATGATATCATATACTCTTCTGTGTTAAAATTTACATCCAAAGGCCCCGTAAATGGCGTACAGTTATGTTGACAAGACACAGTGAATTTCACGTAGGAGACAAATTGAACTTTTTGTACAAAATAAATTGAGCTTCGGTTGCGGAACTGACAGAAAGAGTGACAAATTTTACATGAGAGGAAAACATTATCTACTGGCAACAAAAACATAACCTGTCAATTGTGCTGTTAACTACTATTGGATATATCTGTTGATTTTGAACGAAAAATTTGTCTGTGTTTTCTCTATCGTTGGACACAGGGTATATGGGTGCTGATAAAAATCATTTCTTCTACACTCAAATTAGCTGAAGAAAAACCAACTACCGGCATGAATTTGAATTTTGACATAACAACATTCTCCCTTGATCGAGGCAACCGCTGAGTTTCGGAGTTAACATTTCGATTGTCCACATGTTCATTATCGGCTGTGTTGTTGTCGTCTCGGTGGGGGCGATTTTGAGGATCAAATGCAAAACGATTATTCTCATTTTACACAAATATAAACGTTATGGAACGTGTGCTGTTGCTTTTCACACTCTGATCGATGGAAGATTGTTGCCTTATGCCGAAGTGATCATAATATTGAGGTTTAAGGCTCTGAGACCGCTAATATTCAAAATACCTAATCATATTGTCAAAATGAATTTGATTTTCTTTTGCTTCCGATTTTGACAATTTTGGAATTGAACTCTCAAGCGTTGTTGCATATCAACAAATGCCTATAAACGACTGCACCGATGGGTTTGTGTTCATGCACTGATGGAAATTTGACAGGAGAGCGGAGCAATGTTCATTAATAATGGACATTTAGTGTTCGTTTTTAGTAAACATTGCCCCGCTCTCCTGTCAAATTTTCTTCAGTGCATGAACTCAAATTCATCGCACTCGTCCACAGTCGTCGATAGATAATGAACTCATTTGTTCATTTCACTCGTACATGACAGCAAATATTTTCAAAAGAAATGCAATTCATCTACACTGGGTTGAAGCGCTAGTGATGGTAAATAATAAAACCAACAATGACGCGGATACATAAGAAAAAAATACACTCTGAAATCGCATTATACTGCAATGCAGATTATATTCCAAAGCGTCTCCCTCATTTGAGGTGAATTTTTTCATTTGCTTTCCCAGATCGCAAGTAGTCCGTCGCCTAAGCGTCTCTTTTTTGGAGTACGATTTTCCATTTGCCTGCCCTGATCGGTCGCTTAGGCGTCTGCCTCCTTTGAAGCGATAATTATCCCTTCCCTGTCCCGATCGAACTTTGTCTGGCTCCAAAGCGTCTCCTTCCTTTGAGGCGAGTTTTGTCAATTCCTTGTTCCGTTTGGACTTGGGCTGTGTCCGATTTGCCGAGTTGAATTTAGCCCGGAGTTAAAAGTGACATTTCGAAAGTTATTTTCCATGATCGAAAATCGATCAATCGGCTTTCGAGCAGAACTCAGCCACGCTCGGATAGCAGGGTTAATCGATAACTTTCCAACCCGTCAATTTGGACACAACCTTGGTTCGTCGCCAAAGCTACTCCCTCCTTTTGAGGTGATTTTTCATTTCCTTGCCGTATTTTTTTTCAAAATCGCGTAGATGGCTGTCCTTTGAGGCGAGATTTCGCCAAGCGCCTCCCTTCTTTCAGGTAATTTTTTTCCTACCCCAATCGGTCTATGTCCGTCACATAGGCATCTCCCTCTTTTGAGGCGAGATTTGTCATTACCCTACCCTTCATAAAATTTGTTCACAGATTAAGTCAGGCAATCTTGAAAAACTGCAAAAGGAGCATGCAGTAGTTATGTCCCATGAAATTGCAGAATAAATTACCAACCCCTCTACCTTTCATCATCAAGATGTTCTTAAACCTAAAACATTGAATATTATACCCTTCCTCCCCCTTAGAGTGTGGCATAATCAAAGGATCACCCTAAACAATCGAGAATCGATTATTCGAATAGAGTCCCAACTAAAAATGTCAGCTACAAACCAGCTTAAACAGGCAAAAATTGGCTTATGCAACTATTTTTTACCTATATAAGCTGTTATCCAGCTAAAATTGGTTGTTGGGAAGTCTGATGCACTTATTGAAACATAACCTTGATCACTATTACTTAAAACGCACTTACAAACGATTTGATGATTTAACAGAACACTGCAAGCATTTGATAAGTCTTACCATCAAAGGGAGAATGTAAACACGCACTGACAAAAGAAACAGAGCGTAATTTAAGCCCTATATACCCTGTGTTTTTCAACGTAATGATTATATATTATTCTGACAAACCCTTCGACTTACCCATTAATTCTAATCTCGAAAAACTAAATTAAACCAAAACCCCCTATACAAATTCGTACCCAAGCGATTTTGTCGTCTTATGAACCACATCTATGGAGAATGATCGAAAACAAGATAAATTTAAAATCATTAACACTACTGACAACACTTAAATGTTTAGGTAAATTAGAAATTTACTAATGCAAAAAAGCAAAAACATATGTAACGATTAAAGAGTATCTATATATGAGAATGATAAAACACAATTTAAAATACTATTTTCTAGTCTAATATATTGAATAAATCAAATACTTAATTGACGCAAGTATATTACTACTATATGAACAAGTAATGGATCGAATTAAACTTACTTATTAGCTATAGAAAGAAACTGGACTGGAGAGACGAAAACAGGAAACAGAAATCTAACGCAGTGCTGTTCAAATGGACGAAAAGCGAAAAAAATGTTCAATAATATTCCTAAATAATCTTCACACTATAAACACTTTGCAATAGATCGACATGCCATTTTTCAGTTCCGGCTATCATTAAACGTGAAGAATACACCCAAACCGATCACCCCTATTCTCTAGTCCGTTCGAAATGCATTTCTCGTACAGAATGAAATGTTTGATACGGGAAATCCGTTTCGAGCGGAATATCAGAATCATATACACACACACACAAACCCACAGACATAAATGCAAATCGTAATCTAATCGCAACAAGCGAAACAGTAGCCGAAATCACTACCCATTACTCACACATAAACACACAGAATCTACTTAATAGATCGTAGCAATTGACTTTCACTAAAACACAAATAAACAAAACTAATCAAACGAAGAAGAAAGAAAAAAAAAACAAACCAAACATAGCAAACCCACACGCCTCTGCCGTCATGAGCGAACATGGAAAAGAATAACCGGAAATCAAAACCGAAACAGTAGTAACCTTGGTGGAAATCGAATCAAAACCAAAACCTAAGATAAACATGAAACTAATTGCAATAGAGAACACCCTTTACTTAGGACAGCCAGCCGTCGTCAGTCAGCTATAAGCAAAGCAACATAAAACGACTTTTTTTCCCATCTGTAGAGCCAGAATAGACATAAGAAGAAGAAAGAAGAAGGTGATGATGATGATGACAACAACCGCATCGAAAAGGACTCATTTAATCGAAATCAAAATCCGGAATGCAAAATCAAAGCAAAGGACGTCGCTCGCGTCGTCGCTGTAGTCGCTTGCCCAACAGTCGCCGTACATAAGATGGATTGTGAAATCCTCCGATAGAAAAAAAAAAAGAACCACGTTCCAATCAGTATGAAGATTATAGGAAAATCAATAAAAATGAACAAGTATATTGAAGAAAAGTAGATGGCGGGTGTGTTTTCAACTACGCAATATCCGAAATACATCGAACCCATTAGTCACATGTCTTTCGCTCAATGGCGTGTCGAGGGTTTTAAAAGTGACTGGGCCTTTTTTTTTATCTAGTTTGTTTATTTGGAAGGCTCAATCGCGTTAGCTTTACGGAGCCGATAATTCATTGTTCACTGTGTGTAACAAAATTCACTTATTTCTATGTCTAGTAGGAGTTGGGCCGATTACTCGCGGCTTACTCGAGGTTAGAAGGGTACATTTTCGAAGGATAGGATCAGGGGAGGAGCTTGGGGTAGGGTAACGTTGTCTCATCAGAGCGTTGTCGCCAGTATGAACGGTAGTGCTGTTCTAGCTTCGTCCGGAGTTCGACCGGCTATGGTGGGTGACCAGTGGGCGACGATGAGACTCATCGAGACGGGGGGACAAGACAAACAAAAACTAATAAAGAGAGACAAAAGACAAAAGGAATTAAATTCTTATACTAGACATTTGAAGAAAAACATAAACGGACTGCATATAGCAGAGATCACGGGTTGCCAACACGTCTCTGATAGGAACATAGGGTTGTCTTCCTTGGGCCTCGAGGGTATTCAAAAGTCGCTCTCTGGCGGCGTCATTATCCGTACATTGCCAAACTGCGTGTTCGATGTTTATTTATTTATTTGTCGTCAATCAGTGTAGACCGTTTTACAATTGTTGTCTTAAGTGCTATTTTTACAATTTTGTCTTTGTTTATATTTTTTATAATATGTCTTAAGAAAAAGTTAAAACATTACTTCTAGTTGACGTTATGCGACGAATTAAAATATTGCTTTAATTTAGTTTTTGTCATTGTAAAGTCAATGTTATCGCAGTGCTTATTATATGTATCCATCATTTGGTTCAAGGGTCCAAATTTGGCATAATTCGTACGATGACGATTTGTAGCAAATATATTTCTGTTTCGTAAATGCCTAGATGGTGTATATAAATTTAAGGATGACAATAGTTCTATTGAATCAATTCGATGTGATACGATATCGTTTACGAAAGAAATCATAGCAAATTCACGACGTTCTTTTAATGTTTGGATATTTATGAGCATACACCGAGCTGTGTAAGATGGCAGAGGAAATACAGTCCAACCTAACTTGCGGAGTGCATACAATAGAAACTGCTTTTGAACGGACTCTATTCTTTCTTCGTGTGTGATTGAAAAAGGTGACCAAACTATGCTGCAATATTCTAATATCGATCTTACATAAGCAATGTACAATGTTTTTATCGTATACGGATCGTGAAAGTTATAGCAGAAACGTTTTATGAAACCAAGCATGTTGTTAGCTCTGTTAATAATTGTGTTATAATGATCGGTGAAAGTAAGTTTTGAGTCCAAAATAACACCTAGATCCCTGACTCTATCACACTTTTCTACGATATGGTTTCCTAAAGTGATTGTTATATCGGGTAGGGTTCGTTTTCTACTAATGGTAATTGAGTTACATTTTTTTATATTTAATTGTAGCAGGCTTTTTTGGCACCAAGTATGGAATATCTGTATTTCCTCTTTGAATGTGATGATGTCTTTGGCATCTTTTATTTCCAAAAAAAGTTTAATGTCGTCAGCATATATTAAAACTTTCAATTTCTTAATAATGAAAGATATGTCATTGACGAAGAGAATAAATAAAAGTGGTCCTAAATGGGAGCCTTGAGGAACTTCTGAAGTGACATCAACGGGATTTGATGTCTTTCCTTTGTATTTTACTATTTGATGACGGTCAGTTAAATATGATTCAAGCCACTTGAGGAGTG